GAGGATGGCATGGGGACGGCAGGGGCAAGGGACGACGGTAGGGGAGGATGGCAGGGGGACGGCAGGGGCAAGGGGACGACGGGTAGGGGAGGATGGCAGGGGGACGGCAGGGGCAAGGGGACGACGGGTAGGGAGGATGGCATGGGGACGGGCAGGGGCAAGGGGACGACGGGTAGGGGAGGATGGCAAGGGGCCGGCAGGGGCAAGGGGACGACGGGTAGGGGAGGATGGCAGGGGGACGGCAGGGGCAAGGGGACGGAAAGGTAGTGGGCGGAGGTTGTGAATCTTTGAAGTTATCCAAGTAATATATAATATTTTGTTAGTTAATCGTAGTGAGAGTGACCTTGATGGCTGGTGACATCAAGACCAGGTCCTCGGGTTCATCAGGCGCTGTACCACCTCTGGTGTGACCTTGATGGCTGGTGACATCAAGACCAGGTCCTCGGGTTCATCAGGCGCTGTACCACCTCTGGTGTGACCTTGATGGCTGGTGACATCAAGACCAGGTCCTCGGGTTCATCAGGCGCTGTACCACCTCTGGTGTGACCTTGATGGCTGGTGACATCAAGACCAGGTCCTCGGGTTCATCAGGCGCTGTACCACCTCTGGTGAGTGTGACCTTGATGGCTGGTGACATCAAGACCAGGTCCTCGGGTTCATCAGGCGCTGTACCACCTCTGGTGAGTGTGACCTTGATGGCTGGTGACATCAAGACCAGGTCCTCGGGTTCATCAGGCGCTGTACCACCTCTGGTGAGTGTGACCTTGATGGCTGGTGACACCAGGTCCTCGGGTTCATCAGGCGCTGTACCACCTCTGGTGAGTGTGACCTTGATGGCTGGTGACACCAGGTCCCGGGTTCATCAGGCGCTGTACCACCTCTGGTGAGTGTGACCTTGATGGCTGGTTGACATCAAGACCGGTCCTCGGTTCATCAGGCGCTGTACCACCTCTGGTGAGTGTGACCTTGATGGCTGGTGACATCAAGACCAGGTCCTCGGGTTCATCAGGCGCTGTACCACCTCTGGTGAGTGTGGACCTTGATGGCTGGTGACATCAAGACCAGGTCCTCGGGTTCATCAGGC